TCCCCAAAACTTGATATGAAAGATCTTGACGAAGCCTCGTTCGTTCTAGGGATCGAGATTCACCGAGATAGAAGAAAAGGGTATAATGATTGTCACAAAAGGCATACATGGAAAAGATCTTAAAGAAATTCAGTATGCACAAGTGTAGTCCCTCAGCTGCTCCTATAGTCAAGGGCGACAGATATGGGGATTTTCAATGCCCCAGGAACCAATATGAGCTCAATTGATAAAGTGAAAGTGGTTCCATATGCTTCAGCTGTCGGAAGCTTGCAATATGCTCAAGTATGTACACGCCCTGACTTGGCATTTGTTACCGGGTTTTACTTGGCAGATTCCAGAGCAATTCTGGAATAGAACACTGAAATTAGTAAAGAAAGTCTTGCATTATTTGCAAGGAACGAAAGGCCTCATGATGACATATAGAAGATCTGATTCACTCCACATAGTGGGATATTCAGATTCTGATTATGCGAGAGTGAATGCATATCCAGACGTGGATTTTCTATCATCTCGCAAAGGAGAGCTATTTCATAGAAAAGTTCAAAGTAAACTGTCACTACATCGTCCACAATGTATGACAGTTTGTAGCGTGTTATGAGACAACGGGCAGGTGAACTAACTAACGAAGTTCATACCCGGTTTGAAAGTGGTTGACGACATCTATAGACCACTAAAGTTATACTACGATTATAATCTGGCAATACAGGATGCTCACAACATAAGTCAAGTGGTGCTGCCAAACACATTGATATAGAGTATTATGTTGTGAAAGATAAAGTCCGGGATCAAGTCATAAGTCTTGATCATATAAGAACAGAAAGGATGCTCGCGGATCCGCTTACAAAAGGCTTACCACCCAACATGTTCAGAGGACATGGTGTTTAGAGAACATGTAGCTAGCTTGGGTTTAAGGAAAAGCCTAAAATATTCCTGGACAAAAGAAGGCCCAAAGATAAGTATCTATTTCAGAACAGAGTAGTGAGTTGTAGCTGTTAAGTCTATCGGCAATGGACCGTGACGATGAGACATGCTCTATGAGCTAATCTGTAATGGAATGAACAAAAGTAAATGATATGAAAGTGAAAGATGGAATGAGATCAAGGGGGAGAATGTTAGTTGATCTCCACCAATAGGCCCAACGGCCTATTGGGCCCTTATCTCTGCTCCCTGATCGGGGGAGCCCAACCCTAATCTGGTTGGTGGGCCCCTGTCGCACAGCACACATAAAAGGAAGGTGGGGGTGAGGGCTCGGACTACGAGGTTCGCCGTGAGCCGCCATCCCACCTACAGTAACCCTAATCCGATCTAAAGGCCGTGCTGCCAGCGACGGGATGAGCCCCAACCACCGCCGTCGACCCACTGCAGGGTCACCACCGGACCGCTGTCTCTCCACCAGCGCCACTGGACTTCACCGCCACCGCGCTGGACGTCTTCTACACTGTGGCACCGGCGTCTACCCGCTACGGTGCATCTCCAGAGAGAAGGCGAGGAGTCTACCCGGATCTACGGGTCACACAGAGGTACCAATCCTACGATCATAACAGGATGAGCCCCCGCTCCCACAGCAGAAAGGAATAGGATCCCATCCCTCTGCATCAATAAAGTTCTGTTACTATTTCCTTCCTCTCAAAGCAGAGGATGTGTATGTATGTATGTATGTATGTATGTATGTATGTATGTATGTATGTATGTATGTATGTATGTATATTGGTGCAGGCTACAAAGCAAAGGATTAACATACAGTGCTTGCTGGGCTCAGAATAAATTATCTCCCCAAATATACGAACACAAGAATAAATATGAAACACGCTAGTGCCAAAGTCTGAACAAAATGACTATATCCAGCACTCTGCTTCACCATGTTATGACTCCAAGTGCCAATGTGCCATCAGCCCAAGGCAATCTGTCGTACAGAGTCCTCCGTGTCTCACTAGAAGTGAAATTTGGCCAAAGCAAGGGCAAGCAGATGGTACGAAATAGCCCAAGCATATTGCAGCTGCTCTGCTCGGTTTCTGCACGAACATAGTACATGTGAACAGAGCAAAGAGTAAGTGGATCAGGTCAGCGTACAGTACATGTTGGTGCTTGCTGTTTGTTACTGTACCACAAGAGATTTGTTCACCACACATTCGGTTCATTGACTTGTGCAAATATATATAGGTCCATTACTTCAAAAAATATATATGGAGTGTACAAATATACATGGTCAAGACTACAAGAGTGCTGGAGACGGTATCCGTAACCATGATTTGGCAGTATGTTGACAGTCTGTATGTGAACAGAGTATGTGTACTGCATGAGTGCGTGCTGGAGACGAGCTTCTACCAAGCACATCTCACTCCCAATTGCCACTGCAAGCTAACATCATGTGGCTATGCCTAAGGATCCTGGATCCCTGCATACATTAGTTACACGGTCACTGCATAATGACACTTGAAAATACAACTAAGTGAGAGAAAAATTATAGCTACAAATACAAGAGATGATAATAAACATACTTATGCCAGAATTGGAGTACAAGCAACAACTAATTAATAATCTGGAAAGCAACTTTCGGCATAGTGAAAGAATGCGATTTACTATTACCTGAGTTCATGAGCGATCATCAATGGAGCTGCGCTGTCCTCAGTCTTCCTCTGAATATCCATCCGAACTTGTATCTGAATCTTCGATGCAGTTGATGTCGCGTTTTCCAATATGGCTGATCTTCTTCCATTCAGAGCTACCCGGTGATAAGGAGGATTCGTGTATCTTCTTGTTGCAATACAACTCGAGATACCTTGGGTGTACAGCTCGCGGGTATTCCAGAAGCGTGTCCATGGTGGCGTCCTCCAGTCGAAGGCTGTCGAGTGCTGGGACACCTTCTAGAACCTCCAGCTTTGGGCAGCGAACGATCCTAATCTTCTGCAACCTGGAGAGGCCGCTGATCCTCTTCAGCTCAGGGCAGTCAAACACATCAAGATCCACAACTGAAGGGAAGTTCTCCACATGTGTCAGGTTGGAGAGCTCGTACAAGTTTAGTTCTCTAAGATTATGCATCTTGCTGTGGCGAGACCTGGTGGAAGATGGCTCAGCTTGCAGTTATCGATTTGGAGTTTCTCAAGACAAGGCATGGCAATGGTAGTTTTCACATCCATATGCTCCTCACAGTCATTCCATTCCCACTTCTCCCACTCACGTAGTCTGTGACCTGAGTACCTGACAACGGGTGGAGTCGTCGTTGGAGTAGGCCAATCGTTTCCGGTCGGAGTCCGATGCCAGCAGACGGCCAGTGCGTTTCTCTCTGTTCATCTCTGACCGACCGATTGGGCGAGCGCTTGTGCTCCGATCGGTCCGGGGACCGGGTCTGGCTTCGACGAGGCGCGAGAGGTCCATCGGCATCCATGACATGAGAGGTGGATAGACAGGATTTGATGTGGACTCGGCACGCGCAACGCGCTGACGAGGTTGGTGAAGCGTTCTCTGACTCGGAGTTGTCAGTTTTTTTTAGCAGAAGATATCTCGGAGTTTTCAGTTGTTTTTTTTTTACGAAGCTGAGCAGATATCGATAATATCATAAATAACGTTAATAATGGAAACTATTGTTTATCTCCCATGCATGCTTCGATCATTCAATCCATTGGTTGAGCTTGATTTGGCATTGCCCATCCCCCACGCGGCCCATGGAGTTATCCTCACCGTCTTGTCAATGCGGCGCTGACAATGTGTATGCTCAAACGTAAAATTGGAACACATCCAATACCTCTGCCTATACGTGTCCTTTTTATCGGACTTGGCTACCTGGCAAGGATCACCGCAAAAGCATATGGGCACTGCAACACCACTAGGCAGAGGCAATGGGTCGAAGGCATTTTCAGTCATCCGCCCATAACTATAATTCAACCAATTTCGTTCTAAGAACCGAAATCAATTAACACTAAACCCTAAACCTAGGGTTTTCCATTCGATGCACAACAATAAACCCATAACATAACAACATGAGCTGCGTTTACCTTGGTTTGCTAGCTTTTTCACGCCTTGACATCCTACGGTTGTATAATACAAATATTAAAAATTGCATGAAACCCTAAGTAATGACGATTCTTAGGTTGAAAAATCGGACTAATATATACCGAATCGATGCGAAAAAACTAGGAGGGGAGCGAGGATACCTGGCTCTCGAAGATCCACGGATCAAATCAAATTTTCCAAGGTCCAATATATCGATTCGTGAGGTAGGGCGAAGTGGGGAGAGAAAAAACCCGAGAGGAAGGAGAAAGAAGAGGAAGAAGGCTCGGGCAGGAAGGTTGGGGGCCGGATTAAAACACCACCTCGGCGTCATAGATATTGTTGCCAAGCTCGGCGCCAGGATCTACGGCACCAAGCTCGGCGCCGAGCTACCTGTCAAGTCACCGCCACATCTGCGTCGAGCCTAAGACCTCGGCGCCAGCAACGATGGCATCGAGACGTGTTATCTCGGCGTCAGCAACGATGGCGCCGGGTGCAGATTTTGAAATCATACTTTCAGGTGCATATTTATAAGAACTTTTAAAAAAAGAGCTTAAAAAATAAAAAATTCGGGACGCGTGGCGTCCTTCTCCGTCAACGCCCGCGGAAACCCCGACGCAACGCAACTGCCTCGTTCGTTATCCAAAGCACACACTACGCTGCGGGCTGCTCAGCTCCAGCAGGCATTAGCTCTGGCACGCTTGCTGGCTCCCCCGCCCCACCGCGTCCGTGCGTCCGTGGAGAGGAGACGGCGACCGGTCGCCCGCCGACCCGTGCGTCTCCACCGCGCGCAGCCGCACGACCAGTCCTCCCACCACGCCTCCTCCCAGCCTCCTCCGCCGCCGCCCAAGCACCACCACCACCACCACAACCCCAACAAGTCCAAGCAGCAGCAGCAGCAGCCCCTACCTCCGCGTCCTCCGCCGCCGCACCATGCTCCTTCCCCCGCCGCCACCACCACCGCCCCCGCCCCCGGGGCGGCGACGAACATCGGCCGCGTGCTGGGCCGGCCGATGGAGGACGTGCGCGCATCCTACACGTTCGGGCGTGAGCTAGGCCGGGGCCAGTTCGGCGTGACCTACCTTTACCTAGCCACGCACAAGCCGACGGGGCGGCGGTACGCGTGCAAGTCCATCGCCACCCGCAAACTCGCGCACTGGGACGACGTCCGCCGGGAGGTGCAGATCATGCACCACCTCACGGGCCATCGCAGCATCGTCGAGCTCCGGGGCGCCTACGAGGACCGCCACTCCGTCAACCTCGTCATGGAGCTCTGCGAGGGCGGGGAGCTCTTCGACCGCATCATCGCCCGGGGGCACTACTCCGAGCGCGCCGCCGCCGCGCTCTGCAGGGAGATCGTCTCCGTCGTGCACAGCTGCCACTCCATGGGGGTCATGCATCGCGACCTAAAGCCCGAGAACTTCCTTTTCCTTAATAAGAGGGAGGAGTCGCCGCTCAAGGCCACGGATTTTGGGCTCTCCGTCTTCTTCAAGCCCGGTAACTAACTAATCCCCTTCGCTCTTCACTACTGTGTTCACAGGGATATCCATCGTTTTCGGATGCCTTTTCGATTTCAGTCCTACTCACTCTACTCACTATGTATGTGTGATTCTGCGTCGATTCGATTACTCACTATGTATGTATGATTCTGCTTCGATTCGATTCCATAGATATAGATAGATGCTCATCCTCATCCTCATGTGGGAATTCAGCACATACCAAGACGAGGAATCATTATTGTTTGATTGCCTTGTGCTTTAACTAGAGTCTAGAGGAGGAATCGTTGTTGTTTGATTTGGTCTCAGCGATCCAGCTCCCACTCTGTAGCGTGTCCAACTCAACTCAAACTGAAAACGATCGATGATTGGATTGCAATGCAGGCGAGCAGTTCAGGGATCTTGTCGGGAGCGCCTACTACGTCGCCCCGTAGGTGCTCAAGCGGCGATACGGAGCTGAGGCGGACATATGGAGTGCCGGAGTTATCCTCTACATCCTGCTATCCGGCGTCCCTCCTTTCTGTGCCGGTACGTGTCCCTGCGCCCTGCTGCGTAAACCGACCAGCCACATCCTGATGCCAATGCCATTGTCCCCTTACTAACACGACACGGATGCTCTGTCTTCTGTCTCCCCCGATTTTGGTCTTGGTTTTACCAGAGAACGAGGATGGCATATTTGATGCTGTTTTGCGAGGTCATATTGATTTCGCATCTGATCCCTGGCCTTCCATATCGAATAGCGCAAAAGATTTGGTCAAGAAGATGCTGCGCCAAGATCCCAAGGAGCGGCTTACTGCTGCTGAAATTTTGAGTAAGTATTCGCTAGCGCTATCGTCGAACACGGTTCTCGACCCCTCCCATCCATTGCCAATCCTGGTTCTACTGATTGGGGGTGCTGCTCATCATGCCAAGTGCACTGCCTATTTATCTTCTTCCGTATACAAGCTTTTTATGCTCTCTTTGCAAAATGAGCCTTCATTCTTGCTCTGTTTGTATATAGTGCCTCAATCTAATACATTAAGCACACAGAGCATCCCTGGATTAGAGAGGATGGAGAGGCCCCAGACAAGCCACTAGACATTACAGTAATAAGCAGAATGAAGCAGTTCCGGGCAATGAACAAGCTTAAGAAGGTTGCCTTGAAGGTAAACGGATCTTCTGGATTTTTGTTACTGTTTCTCTCTTTTTAGCACTCCAGTCCTTAATAATACATGAAACATCTTGACGTCGCTTCTGTTACAATCAGGTTGTTGCAGAGAACTTGTCAGAGGAAGAGATCGTGGGCTTGAAAGAAATGTTCAAATCCCTGGATACTGATAACAGTGGGACTATAACGCTGGAAGAATTGAGAGCTGGTTTACCAAAGCTCGGCACCAAAATCTCTGAATCAGAAATAAGGCAGTTGATGGAAGCGGTAAACTCTTATCTTGTAGCCCCATAGCCTTAAATCATAATGCTTCCCTTATTCACATAATGTGATGCAACTGCCTGTTAAGTGAAAATGCCAGTAGTGCACAAAATAGTAGTAGTGGATGTGTTCTTATTTGATAAGGGAGGAAATAAATAATACCATATGACTTTAATCAGTATGATGACATTGTGTGAGTTTGAACCTTTCACATTTCTAGTAGTCTGACGGATCCTGTGCTTTTCGTTCAAGTTCATTCTCTCCAGAACCATTCTGGGACCATTTCCACTCTTGTTAATTGTTTTCCCTTCATGAACAGGCTGATGTTGATGGAAATGGTACCATTGATTAAGTTGAATTCATATCAGCAACAATGCACATGAATAGATTAGAGAAGGAGGATCATATATTTAAAGCATTCGAGTATTTTGATAAGGACCATAGCGGGTAATTTCACTTCTAACTCTACTTTTTCATTACTTATGTACTGAGTTTGACCTTTAACATTAACTTTGTTGCTTGCACATTCCTGTACAGGCACATTACGGTTGATGAGTTGGAAGAAGCTCTGAAGAAGTATGATATGGGTGATGAGGCAACAATTAAAGAAATTATTGCTGAAGAAGTAGATACAGATCATGTGAGTAATTCCAGGAAACCCAAAATAATATCACTTTCTATTATTTCATAGTTAGCATTGTCACTCTTTAGATCTTGGAGACTTTTGGCACATTGAAGGAGATTTTGTTTTTAAAAAACAAACAGTTTTTCTTAATGCAATAAAGTAATGAAATTTATTTACACCAATAACAAGCACCTTGAGTCTGAACAGTGGTTCAACTTGTTTCGCTAGTAATCAAGAAACCATTGTCTTTACTATACATTTACTGGTAAGCTAAACCGTCATGTTATCGGGTCCTCTCTTAACAATTGGAACCATATGGCTCACATTGTTAAGAAAAGACTAATGATGAAAGACTAATTGTGATGTTTGCTATTTAAATTCACATGAATTGCTTAGTTCAGTTGCTAAGTGCTATTTGTCTTTTGGTTTTACTACGTAGGATGAGAGAATCAACTACCAGGAGTTTGTTGCCATGATGAAGAATAATAGCCCCGATGTTGCTCCAAATCGGAGGCGCATGTTTTAAGGTTCTCCTACAGTCCTACGTTTAATTGAAAAAAAAGGCTTCTAAGATATTTTCCAGTGTCAGAGAGGGGAGCAACTCATACTCTGAAGTGGAACCCCTCAGCCAGGCACCTGTGCAATGATATTCCATACTTGGACAAGTTACCAATCATGGTTGACTGCCTTTGTGTGCCCATCTACATGGATGGTAGGAGGTTCTTTCTGGCGCTTCCATGTTCTACCATCTCATCTTACGATATTTCCATGTATCCTTAATGAGGCGTGCCTTATGGTCTAATGTTTCCTGCCTCTGGATCTTTTATGTAAGAAATGGGCTTGTAATACAGTTCGAAATTATCATATATCAGGCAAAAAGTAATGCGATGTGCCTTCTGATCCTCTCCCTCTTTTTCTTTTCTTTTTGGTCACTGGATCATTTATGTGAGAAACCTGGCTTTGTATGACAGTCCCTGATGACGATACTAGACAAGATTATACTTTGTAACGAACATAGCTCGACTTTTAATTTCCATTTCGTACAGTGCAAAAGTACTAGAATCAATAATGTATCATAAAATATTGTTTAGCTCAACTTCCAAATATTTAAGACTTCTTGTGACCAAATTCGTTGCTGTAGAGTAGTTCGAATGGCACAAAGCAGAAAATAATAGCTGGTACAGGACACCAACCACTTCACATGTTCACATGAGCAGGTTTGAGCACTTTCGATGCTTTCTCCAATTAACACATGAGCTCATGTACATATCTTGAAATGGGCAGGCATTCATCAGCCAAAAGCAACTGCTCTTACAGAATAGAAAATCAACTCTGAAAGGCTATTTCCAAGATGCATTTATTTATGCTAAATGCCAAAGCTTCAGGCAGCATTACACGACAAGATGTTGTATGAGCTTATGTGAAATCATTACATCTTGGTCATCCGCAAGATGAGATATTCTGAAATGAAATATGACTAACAGAATACTCGGCCTCTAAACCATCAGGATATCCAACGCATAGCGATAGGTCAGATGTACAATAATAGGCTTCCTTTCCTGCACGAAATGAAATTTACAGTGATGTCTCCCCAATCAAATGTGAGCTCGTCAGCGAACTGCGATCTTTTTCATCTTCGATGATTTGTGCATGATGAAGAGAGCCGCTAGCATGCTTTTAGTGCCAACAGGGGCCTTTTGGATTGCACGACCTTTAGGGTTGTCGAAGGAATGAAATGTTGAAAATTCCTTTACACCAGATAGGTTCTGAAAAGAAAGGCATGGCCTATTAATTTACAAAGTGAAATAAAAAAAACAAAATATACACAATGAGACCTTTTAAACAAAAAAAAGATACAGATTTGGCCATATTCAAGCTTACCTTAGTGCCAACCTTTTGCATAGCATCAGAACTGGTGCTCCTGTTAAACTGCAGAGACCTGCGCATAGGAGAAGCAGACCGGTCCTTACCTGAAACATGAGAGATTCATACGGAGAATTCAATCTGTGCACACAAACAAAGCAGAAAACAACTTACAGGAAATTAAATTGCAGTATGAGTTGATACACAGAATGATTAAATCACCTGATGCAGGTTTTGATGGTGCTGTGTCCACTAGGCTGCGCAGAAGCAGATGACCCCAGAAGTACATAAACCCCATTGCACTAACGAACAAAAAATAAGTTTTATACAAAGCTGAACAAAAACTGGAAGAATTCTTACGCAAATGTAGGTTTATGTGTGTTTGCTTTGGTACTGTTCTCTGAAGACAGATGCCAGGAAAGGGTTTTTGCTGCACCAACGAAATAAAAAATTAATTTTTTTTGTTTAATATGGTACATTGCATGCCTTGAAACTTCATCATGAGCAAAGAGAATAGACAAGAAGGCTCACCAGAGGGATAAGGTCTAGGCTTGGATTCCTGACCAGTGTCTACTTGCTGGTGTCCATGCGCCGGGGATCTTTTATAACCAGCTAGCCTGGCAGATAAAAATGGAGAGTCAAAATTCAGCACCCTTTCCTTTGTAATCAAACAGTGTGTGAGCTCTTAGTTTTACATTCACTTACGTGGTAGGATATAGTGCTTGTGGTGTTTTATGTTTGCTCCAATCATTTGCTGCTGCCTGAGGCCTTCTTTGTCTGTGTAGACTTGGCATGTGAAGATTTGCTACAGATTTGAAAATAGATCAGTATTTGAACCAGAATGGTTTCATCACCCTACAATGCAAGTATTGCAGATAAGTGGCATTACCTGGTTCAGACGTGCAACCTTCAGTTCATAAGTTGACACCTCAGAAGCTTGCTGTTCGAAAAGATCTGTCAATTTGTAGGCAACAGTACCCAGATGATCAACTGCATTGACGACGGCTCGTACAGCATAGTCTTTCAAGTTGTCCAGTACCCTGACATAAATTAACAACTTCAGTTGTCATAATATGGTCAGTGAACCTGAATGTTACAACTGAAAATGTTACAACTGAAATAAGAGTATACTGCAAGTTCGAGTTCAGTACACCATCGATTCATTAATAAAAGATATGAAAGTGCACATCCTATATATTTATAAAATTAATTCTGCGCTGTGAAACAAGAGTGGGTCCCTGCTGCTAAAATTTCAATGCAGTGACAAAATTCAGATGATACCAAAAAATTATATCCTTCTCTAGCCAGTAGAGTTCGTTCTCTAGCCACATCTCCACATCAAGTCCCTTCCTCACACCTGTTGCCGTCCTTGCCTTAGTTGGCTCAGTCCTCTACACCTATCGTACGTACACTACCGGAAACCGGTACTTGGCCAAGTGCCGGAGGCTTTGCCGAGTGTATTTTATCGGACACTCGGCAAAGACGCTCTTTGCCGAGTACCAAATAAAATACACTCGGCAAAAAAAAAACACTCGACAAAAAGCGTCTTTGCTAAGTGCCTTTTTTCTGGCACTCGGCAAAGATGTATTTTGCCGAGTGCTATTTTTTGGCACACGGCAAAATGCGTCTTTGCCGAGTGTCTTTTTTCTGGCACTCGGCAAAGATGTATTTTGCCGAGTGCTATTTTTTGGCACACGGCAAAATGCGTCTTTGCCGAGTGCCTTTTTTGCCTTTGTTTTGGCACTCGGCAAAGAGGCATTTTGCTGTGTGCATTTTTTTTCCCTCGGCAAATCAGTTTTTCAAAGCAATTTTTGAGGCCCTAAATGAATTCAAATGAAAAACTTTTCAACTACAAAGTTGTATAACTTCTCAAGATCTACAAAGTTTATTTTGGTCATTTTTTCATTTGACAAAGCGACAATAACGTTGTTCATAAAATCTACATCTCTCATATCTCTCATATTAGTTTCATGAAAGTAGAAGAGAGAGATATAAGATTTGTGAACAATATTACTACTACTATGTCGGATGAACAAATGACCAAAATAAACTTTGTAGATCTTGAGAAGTTATGAAATTTTGTAGTTGGCAACATTTTGATTTGAAATCATCTTGTCATGCAAAAACAACGTCTGAATTTGAAAATTTTAAAATTTGAATTTTTCAAAAGACCTCGGATGGAAAAACTTCCTAAATGAAAATTGTAGATCTCCAAAAGTTATGAAACTATGTAGTTGACAACCTTTTGATTTGAAATCATCTTATCATGCAAAACTACTTTTGAATCTCTCAAATTTAAAATTCGAATTTTTCAAACGACCTCGGATGGAAAAACTTCTTAAATGAAAATTGTAGATCTCGAAAAGTTATGAAACTTTGTAGTTGACCACTTTTTTATTTGAATTCATTTAGGGCCTCAAACAAGCAATTTACTCTCGGTTTAGTATAATATATGAGGATAGATAAAGGAATCTAAACACAAGTGATAGTGTAGTGTAGTGGTAGAGCAGCAGACACGCGAGGGAGAGGTCGTGAGTTCGAATCCCGCCGGCCGCGTTAGCCGCAAATTTAGCGCAAAAAATGCACCAACTTCGATGAAGATGGGCGGGCGCTGGCTGGTGGCGGCCACCCCTGAAAAAAATTTTGCTATTATTTTTGGGGTTTTTCGCATTTTCATTTTGCCGAGTGTAAATCTTTGCCGAGTGCTTTTCCGGCACTCCGCAAAGGCTTTGCCGAGTGCCCGACAAAAAACACTCGGCAAATAGCTGTTTGCCGATAAAAAGATGCCGTGTGTTGTATGCCGAGTGTTACACTCCGCAAAGCAGTTGCCGAGTGTTTTTGAGCCATTGCTGAGTGCCCCTGGCACTCGGCGAAACGACTGTATCCCGTAGTGGTAGTTGCTACCAGAACATGCTGCACCCACGCTCCGATTGAATTCTTGAACCCTTGGGCGAAATGACAAAATAGTGCAATTGTACGAGGAGCAACAATGGCTGGCCGCTGTGGTAAGAAGTGGGTAATTCCTTCACCCTTGCGGCATTGAAATGCAGGAGCAGGATGCAGGAACGCGACTCACATCTGCTTCTGCTCGCTGTTGTGGTAGGACTTCTCGCAGTACTCGGAGGCGGAGTAGAGCTGCGGCTGCAGGTTCTTGAGCTCCTGCAGACCATCATCATGAAGCAGAAATCCAGCCGGATCCCCGGTGAAACGGAGCAGGAACTAGTTTTTTTTTAAAGGGAATATTTTGAGGGAATTCCTTGTGCCAATAAAAAAGATCGCAACTTCCTGTGAGCCACTGAAAAATTTCAGCGGACTTCAGTGCCACTGTTCTAACTTTTTTTTTTGCCCTCCATGCCACTGCCGTCAGATTGGGCTCTAATGGTGTCAAACTGCAGGTGTGAAAAGTCAAAAATATCCTTAGGTCTAAATATGCCATTAATTTTTTTTAGTATCTTAACGATTTCAAATGAAAAAACTCAAAACTAGAAAGTTGTAGATCTCATCGAGATCTATAATTTTCATAGAAAAATTATCTTCAATTAATACCGCAAGAAAGATATGATTTTTCTAAGATATATTAATCATATCAAATCATATTTTTTTGCAGAATTAAATGAAGATAATTTTTATATGAAAATTATAGATCTCGACGAGATCTACAAC